AGAGCCAGATCTCTGCTCAACACAGAGTGCTACGGGCAGGATCTCCAGTGGTAGGGCATGCCCATCTGCACACAGTGCCTCGACCACCGCTAGAAGTCCAGACCACTGCCCTCAGTGATGAGTGGGTGGCCTCGCTCTCTAACATTATTATTAATATTATTATAAGGATTTATATAGCGTCAACAGTTTGCTCAGTGCTTTACACAATAACGGGAGACAATACAGCAACAATATAGTTCAATACAGGAGGGTTAGGAAGGCCCTGCTCCTTGAAGCTTACAATCTAAGAGGGAGGGGCTAGTGGTACAAAAGGTAACTGTGGGGGATGGACTGGTAGGAGGAGTAGAAGATTCCATTATTAGCTGAGGGCAGGATAGGCTTCCCTGAAGAGATAGGTTTTCAGGATCTCCTAAAGGTGAGCAGAGTAGGCGATAGTCTGATAAATTGGGGTAGAGAGTTCCAGAGGATGGGGGAAGTCCTGGAGAGGAGCATGGGAGGAGGAGACAAGGGAGCTAGAGAGCAGGAGGTCATCAAGGAGCGGAGAGTATGATTTGGGTGATATTTGGAGACAAGATTGGTGATGTAATTTGGGGCAGAGTTATAAATATATAAAATTTTTATAAATATATATAAATATAAATATATATGTTATTATTAATGTTTTGAATTTTATACGTTGGGCAATGGGAAGCCAGTGGAGGGATTGGCAGAGAGGGGTGGCAGATACAGAATGGTTAGTAAGGTGGATGAGTCTGGCAGCAGCAACATTCATGATAGACTGAAGAGGTGATAGCCTGCTATGAGGTAGGCCAATAAGGAGGGATTTCCATTAATCAAGGCGAGAGATAACAAAGGAGTGAATAAGTTGCTTAGTAGTTTCCGAGGTTAAGAACGGGTGTATCTTGGAAATGTTGCGGAGGTGAAGTCTACAAGATTTGGACAGCGATTGGATTTGGGACTGAAAGGACAGATGAGAGTCTAGGATTACACCTAGTACCCTGACATGAGGGGGGGGACTGATGATTGTGTTTTTAATCTTGATGGAGAAGTCAGGGGAGGGGTCACGGGCTGGGGGGAATACTAAGAGTTCAGTTTTGGAAAGATTGAGTTTGAGGAAGTGGAGTGACATCCATGCCAATATGTCGCTTAGTAGGTTAGTAATGCGAGAGGAGGCTGAAGGGGTGAGGAGTAGAAAGATAGATTTGTGTGTCATCAGCATAGAGATGGCACTTAAAGCCATGGGAGTTTATCAAGTGACCAGGGAGGAGGTCTAGATGGAGAAGAGTAGGGGTTCAAGGACAGAACCTTGAGGGACCCCTACAGAAAGAGGGAGTGGAGAAAAAGAGAAAGAGTTATAGGTAACGCTGAAGGAGCGCTGCGATAGGTAGGAGGAGAACCAGGAGAGAGCAGAGTCTTGAAGGCCAAGAGAGTGGAGTTTTTTGAGGAGGAGGTGATGGTCAACAGTATCAAAAGCCACGGAGAGGTCAAGTAGTAAGAGTATGGAGTAGTGGCCATTGGTTTTAGCAATTAGTAGATCATTAGTGAGTTTTAGTAGGGCAGTTTTAGTGAAGTGTAGTGAGCGAAAGCCAGACTGTAAAGGGTCAAGAAGGTTGTTGTCAGTGAAGTAGGAGCTCAGGCGTTTGTAGACTAAGCATTCTAAGAGTTTTGAGGTAAACGGGAGCAGGGAGATGGGTCTTAAGTTGTTCAGGTTGGTGGGGTCCAGGGAGGGCTTTTTAAGTATGGGAGTGATGTGTGCATGCTTTAGAGGGGTGGAGAAGGCACTCTTAGAGAGGAAGAGATTGAAGATGTGAGTGAGGGAGCACAGGATGGAAGAAGAGGATGACCGTAGGTAGTGAGACGGGCTTCTGAGAAAACCTTAGTGACCTCTTCGGTAGTAGCAAGGTCAAAAGAAGAAAGTGTTGAGGGAGGTTTAGTATAAGGTATGCTAAGTGAGATGGATGACACCGCAGGCAGTGTGGAGCAGACTGGGGGAGCAGCAGGGAGAGATTGCAGAGGACCCCAGAGGAAGCGTGGCTGCAGAGGAGGCTTGTGTCCAGAGGAGGGATCCTTGTTCCAGGCTGTCTGACAGATCTACCTAAAGGGGCTCCCTACAGTGCATCTGATGAGTGCGCATTTTATACAGTCTCTCACACGGATTGAATCACACAGATTTACCGTAAGTCACAAAAGTACTATATGTTGATGGAGCACTAATTTGCTGACCTGACCACGTCAAGCCTGCACTATCTTTGAACACTTTCTTGGTTTATAGACTATTGATACAACCACGTTCTTATTTGGCGCTTGACAATCCGCCACATTCACTTATATTTATTTCATGATTATTAACACTGATTTCTGAGGTTATTTTTATTGATGACCAATTTTCATTTAGTATATATTTTTAGCGCTGCACCTTTTCTATATTTTTTTTATGTTTACTAGGCTTTAGGGTTCCTATGTTGGTGCATATGCAGCTGGTGACACTTATAATTTATTTATATAATTTATTTTTTATTTATTTTTATTTTATTGTGAGCGCTCGCTGTATTTCTACCATAAGTGGGATGGATGTCTGTGCAGTGGAGATGCCCCTACGAAATTGCATCAATCTTGTTTTTGAAATGATTTGCAATCTCGTAAGCAGTGAGTGAGGTACTGGTTGGAGGTGGAGGTGGAGAAAGTAGAGAGAAAAAGTAAAAGTGGAGAAGAGACGACGAGGACTGGATGACAGGCTATTGATGAGAGTGACAAAGCAGGCTTGTTTGGTAGCATGGAGGGAGGAATTGTAGGTTAAGAGAGCAGATTTATATATAGGGTAAAAGCTTGGTGAGATTTGGTTTTACGCCACAATCGCTCCAGCACACGACTATGTCGTTTAAGATTTCTGGTGTTATCAGTCTGCCAAGGTTGTAAAGGCCGGGGCCTGATGCTTCGTGTTGTTAGAGGAGCAAGTGAGTCTAATGTGGATGAATGCAAACTGTTGTAGACAGCAGTGACCAGGTCAAGGCAGGACAGGGGAGAGATTCTGTCATAGAGGTGGTCAGTTGTAGAGTGGAAAGGAGCAGGGTTCAAGTTGTGAAGGTTTCTGCAGGTAATTGTTTGCTGCTTGGAGGGATAGGTGTTTGATCATAGTCTCATCACCTTCACAGTGTCCTCATCTTCAGAGAGAGGAAAGGGGGTGTATGTGAGGTTGTAGGGAGTTCAACGATGGGAGAAAACAAGGTCTAATGTATTCTCATCAGAGTGAGTGGAGGGCTGTGTCCATTGCGTTAAGGCAAAAGATGAGGTTAGGTTGAAGAATTGGGATGTAGCTTGGTTGTTCACATTAATGGGGATGTTAAAATCTCCAAGAATGATAGTGGGTAGTTCAGAGGAGAGAAATGTATGGTAGCCAGGCGGAGAAATCATCAAGAAAGCGGGACACCGATAGATCACTGCAATCCTCAGAGAAATGGGAGAAAAACAGCCAAATGCATTGAGTCTCGTTAGAAGAGAAGGACAGAGAGGGAGGGTTAGGGAGGACTTGAAAGGTGCTCAGTGGGGATAGAAGCAAACAACCCCATCTCCTTTCCGACCACTGGGTCTGAGTGAGTGGGTCCAGAGAAGGCCTCCATACAAAAGTGCTGCGGGAGAAGAAGAATCTGGTGCTTGAAGCCAGGTTTCTGTAATTGCTAGTAGGTTAAGGGAGCGGGAGAAAAAAAAGGTCATGGACAGAGGTAAGCTTATTACAGACAGAGCGGGCATTCCAGAGTGAACATGAAAAAGGGAGGGTGGTTCTCTTAGGAGCACGGGGACTGATATTAAATTGAGCAGATTGCAGCTATTCCTGGAGGAAAGAGGGTGCCTAGTGTGGGGTGAGATAGTGGAGGACCAGGGTTTGGGGAGATATCCCCAGAGGTTAGGAGAAGAAGGAGAGTGAGGAAAGTAACATGGGAGCAGGATGTATATGAGTGCACATGCCTTCCAGTCCTGGTGTTTGGGTCAGCAGGTGAGTAATATATCAGCAGGAGGTGATGAGAGCAGTAGTAGGGAGAGGGTAGCAGTGAGGGTGAGATGTATAAACTTTGAGCTGGAGCAGACGGGTAACGAGATGAGATTTTGGGAACACAGGATAGTAATATGAAAAGGAGTAGAGGGGGCATATTAAAAAGGTAGATGGAGTGGGACTCTCAGACTTGTAGGAAATGTTTTCTCAAGGTGCTTGCAGTCCATCCAGCGTGCTGTAGAGTTGGGTTATCCTGCTTTAGTTAAACTGCTGTGTTCAACTGCATCTTCACACTCCAGCATTAAACACAGTCACGCAGAAAACTGCACCCCATCTGTGACTGTGCCCCCCCCTATCTGTGACCTCCCCCCATGAGCTGGTCTAAATTTATAGGAAGATGGTCAAATGAGCAACTCTTCACCGCCCCAATTAGGAACTGATAAGGATCACATGAATTGGGGGAGGGGATGTTTCTCAAAGACAGACCAGCCACAGACACAGGCCAAAGTCATAAAGAAAGTGCAACAGGAGGTGAGAATTAATCACCACAAACAGACCAAAAATATATACACTAATTGTTCTGAGATTTGCAGAAAGTCTTTGTGTTGCTGGAGATACAGTTTAAAGTGGAGATGATAGCAGATGCAGCCTTTACCCAGAGATAGCAGAAGTCTATGCATTGCTGGAGATACAGTTTAAAGTGGAGATGACAGCAGATGCAGCATTTACCCAGATATAGCAGATGTCTATGCGTTGCTGGAGAGCATGTTACTAGCAGAGGGTGTTTATCTCTCTGATTCAGCAAATAAAAAGGAAACAAATAAAAATGTGCCCATATGTATTACTGTAAATGCAAGCAACCTGTCAGGAATGGACTGGCCAGCAATGGTGGGACTCACCTGCCTTTTGATCTGCAGTACCAGGGCTGGCCAGCGGGTGCTCCCAGCAATCAGAGACTCAACCTTTCAGCCAGCTAACACCTGGAACTGATGATACTGGTGTATTTAAGGGATGGCCAGACTTGCAGACTCTGCCTTGGTGTTGTGTTTGTCCTGGGCCCTGTATCTGTCCTGCATCCTGTTTCTGTTCCTTTGCTGACCCTGCCTGATCTGAACCGCTGCTGACTTCTCCTGCTCTGATCCCGGCTCGCTCCTGACCATCCCTCTACCTGACCCTCTGTACCACGCTGCTTGCTACCTGTTCTGATCCCTGGCTTGTGACCCTAACCGTCCCTCTGCCTAACCCTCTGTACTACGCTGCTAGCTACCTGCTGAACCTGGCCTGTGACCCCGACCCATCTCCGCTTGCTCCCCCTGTACCTACCTGCCCTATTGATATTGACCCGGCCTGCCTGACGACGCTTGCTTGTATGTACTGTTATCTGTGGGTGGTTGGTTTGGTTTGTTTGCACTGTATTATGTTTTAGTATTGCACTGCGTTTATGTTTGTATGGTTAGTGTTAATAAATTATATTGTTTATCACATATCTGAAGTCTGCGTTTCCCTGCGTCAGTCACACACCTCTGGTCACACTTGGGAGCCCTGACATTACACCAAGGCCAATCCTGACCAGAAGTGGCTGCACAGGGAAGCCATCTTGGCTTGTTGCTGGGAAGGATGGATCTGGATGAGGTTGAGTATTTATCTCTGCTAGTGCTTGATGACAGGGAGTATGCTTATCAGACTCTGAAGGAGTATCCCCGGGATGAACTGCTAGAATGTATACGGCTCGCTCATGTTCTAGTAGATCAGGGCACAGATTTCTCTATGGTGCAGCCATTGATTAAGGTTTGTGTTGAGTTGGTTTCATCTGGTTCCCCCGAATGCAGGGATGAATTTTTGCCACCATTTAGTGCAGACCAGGTAGAGTCCCTGGTGTGGTTATTAGAGGATGATGTGGGTTACTTTCTGGAGCGTTATTCTGCATGTTCACCACAGGTACTAAGAGATTGTATAAACGCAGTGCAGTCTTTGGTCAGACAGGCTTTGTGTAAGCTCAGCTTTGTTCAACCCATACTGCAGACATGGACAGACTTGTTGCACCCAGCCTCAGTCAGCTTACAAAGACCCAGTCCTGCTTCTAATCTATTTCCTCAAAGCTCTACTCCTGTATTCCCAACAACTCCCCCAGTTACAGCCCAGTATACTTGGCTATCTATCGCATGTCAGTACCCTGTTCCCACTCGCTGCACCTATCCTGCCTTTAACCCTGTAAAAAAGCCCTCTGTAGCAACTGCTCCCTCTCCTGTTCCATCCTCCAGTTCTTCTCGGTCTCCAGCTGCTCCATTCGTTGCAGACCTGCGTTTACTTGCAGTGCTCCAGTAGTTAAAACCAGAAAAAAAGCGAAAATTCTTTCCAACCAATACCATCCTGCCAGTATCCAAACCGGTGAACCTGCCTTCCGTGGTTCAGCCTGAAGCCTCTACTCAGCCTGAATCCTCTACTCAGCCTGATGCCTCTACTCGGCTGAAGCCTCTACTCGGCCTGAAGCCTCTACTCGGCCTGATGCCTCTACTCGGCCTGAAGCCTCTACTCGGCCAAAGCCTCTACTCGGCCTGAAGCCTCTACTCGGCCTGAAGCCTCTACTCGGCCTGATGCCTCTACTCGGCCTGAAGCCTCTACTCGGCCTGATGCCTCTACTCGGCCTGAGCCTCTACTCGGCCTGGAGCCTCTACTCGGCCTGGAGCCTCTACTCGGCCTGAAGCCTCTACTCGGCCTGAAGCCTCTACTCGGCCTGAAGCCTCTACTCAGCCGAACGCTGGCATTCAGCCTGATGCCTCTACCCAGCATGATGAACTGATCCAGCCTGACGATCCTATTAGGCCAGTTGACTCGATGCCCGCTGTTGATCCAGATGATCCCGGTACCTGATCCGGTGCCAGCTATCGTGCCAATTGACTCAGAGCCCGCTGTCGTACCTGGTGACTCGGTGCCCACTGCCTTGCCAGATGACGCGGTGCCCGCTGGCGAGCCAAATGACCTGATGCCTGGTGACCCAGGGCCCGCTGTCATACCTGGTGACCCGATGCCCGCTGTCGAGCCAGACGAACCAATGCCGGGTGACCCGGTGCCCGCTGTCAAGCCAGACAATCCGGTACCTGATGACCCGGTGCCCACTGTCGTGCCTGTTGACTCGGAGCCCACTGCCTTGCCAGATGACGCGGTGCCTGCTGTCGAGCCAAATGACCTGATGCCTGGTGACCCGATGCCCGCAGTCCAGTCAGACGATCCAATGTCTGACCCAGTGCCCGCGGTCATACCAGTTGACTCGGAGCCCACTGCCTTGCCAGATGACGCGGTGCCCGCTGTCGAGCCAAATGACCTGATGCCTGGTGACCCAGTGCCCGCTGTCATACCCTGGTGACCCGATGCCCGCTGTCGAGCCAGACAATCCGGTACCTGATGACCCGGTGCCCACTGTCGTGCCTGTTGACTCGGAGCCCACTGCCTTGCCAGATGACGCGGTGCCCGCTGTCGAGCCAAATGACCTGATGCCTGGTGACCCGATGCCCGCTGTCCAGCCAGACGATCCAATGTCTGACCCAGTGCCAGCGGTCATGCCAGTTGACTCGGAGCACACTGTCGTGCCTGGTGACTCGGTGCCCGCCGCTTCGCCTGGGGGCCCGAGACCTGTCCTCCGCCTGGGGGCCCGAGACCTGGGGCTCCGCCTGCCCCGAGACCGCGCCCGCCTGGGGGTCCGGCACCCGCCGCTCCGCCTGGGGGCCCGAGACCTGTCGCTCCGCCTGGGGGTCCGGCGCCCGCCGCTCCGCCTGAGGGCCCGAGACCTGTCGCTCCCGCCTGGGGGTCCGGCGCCCCGCCCGCTCCCGCCTGAGGGCCCGAGACCTGTCGCCCCGCCTGGGGGCCCGATGCCGGTCGCGCCGCCCGCCTGGGGACCCGATGCCTGTCGCCCCGCCCGGGGGCCCGCTTCCTGTCGCCCCACCCGGGGGCCCGATGCCTGCTCGCCCTGCCCGGGGGCCCGGTCGCCCCGCCCGGGGGCCCAGTGCCTGCTGCTCCGCCCGGGGGCCCGGTGCCCGCTGCTCCGCCCGGGGGCCCGGTGCCCGCTGCTCCGCCCGGGGGCCCGGTGCCCGCTGCTCTGCCCGGGGGCCCGGTGCCCGCTGCTGCCTGGAGGTCCCGCCTGATGCTGCCGATGTGCCTCGCCTGGAGTCCTGCCCGATGTGCCTCTGCCCGGAGTCCTGCCCGATGTGCCTCTGCCCGGAGTCCTGCCCGATGTGCCTCTGCCCGGAGTCCTGCCCGATGTGCCTCTGCCCGGAGTCCTGCCCGATGTGCCTCTGCCCGGAGTCCTGCCCGATGTGCCTCTGCCCGGAGTCCAGCCCGATGTGCCTCTGCCCGGAGTTTAGCCCGATGTGCCTCTGCCCGGTGTGCCTCTGCCCGGAGTCCAGCCCGATGTGCCTCTGCCCGGAGTCCAGCCCGATGTGCCTCTGCCCGGAGTCCAGCCCGATGTGCCGCTGCCCGGAGTCCAGCCCGGTGTGCCGCTGCCCGGAGTCCTGCCCGGTGTGCCAGTCTTTGATATCCCGCCAGTTACCAGACCCGGGCGGTGGAACATTTTGCCCAGCTAGGACTTTTTGGAGCGTCCTGAGGCAGCTCCTTGAGGGGGGGGTACTGTCAGGAATGGACTGGCCAGCAATGGTGGGACTCACCTGCCTTTTGATCTGCAGTACCAGGGCTGGCCAGCGGGTGCTCCCAGCAATCAGAGACTCAACCTTTCAGCCAGCTAACACCTGGAACTGATGATACTGGTGTATTTAAGGGATGGCCAGACTTGCAGACTCTGCCTTGGTGTTGTGTTTGTCCTGGGCCCTGTATCTGTCCTGCATCCTGTTTCTGTTCCTTTGCTGACCCTGCCTGATCTGAACCGCTGCTGACTTCTCCTGCTCTGATCCCGGCTCGCTCCTGACCATCCCTCTGCCTGACCCTCTGTACCACGCTGCTTGCTACCTGTTCTGATCCCTGGCTTGTGACCCTAACCGTCCCTCTGCCTGACCCTCTGTACTACGCTGCTAGCTACCTGCTGAAACTGGCCTGTGACCCCGACCCATCTCCGCTTGCTCCCCCTGTACCTACCTGCCCTATTGATATTGACCCGGCCTGCCTGACGACGCTTGCTTGTATGTACTGTTATCTGTGGGTGGTTGGTTTGGTTTGTTTGCACTGTATTATGTTTTAGTATTGCACTGCGTTTATGTTTGTATGGTTAGTGTTAATAAATTATATTGTTTATCACATATCTGAAGTCTGCGTTTCCCTGCGTCAGTCACACACCTCTGGTCACACTTGGGAGCCCTGACACAACCTAACCCTTTTCGGCAGCAAGTAGAAAGCTAACTAATAAAGAACATGTCCATATTTTTGACTGTACATGCAGCCTAACTGTTACACACTAATAAAATTGGAAGGTTCAACTGGGTTTTAAATCAAACGGAGGTTTGTCTTACTTGGCCTGGAATGTTGCAATTATACCTGTAGCACCCTCTAGTGTGCTACTAGTGTTAGTGTAGATAAATGTATTATGCTTTGACTCATGGTAACTGTATGAATCTGTAATTAGGTCGGGTTACTGCTGGTCAGGCTGAGTGACTCAGCACATTGGGACTCTACAGCCTACACCTGGTTCTGAAGGACCATGGGCACTTCCATAAGCCAGTGGGTGAGAGGGGTGGAGACCTAAATCTGCATGTTTATGGGAGTCTGGCCAATCCCAGGTTTGGAGGCCTGGTAGTGTGGTACGGCTAACCCATAAATATGAGAAAGCCATGCTAGCAGAGGAGTCAGCTGGAAGATGGAGTACTGAGGAGGCTGTCGGTGGCCAGGGAGGGGTCCCCTAGGTCTAAGATGGGCTCAGGCCAGCTCAGGAAGATCCATTCAGCATAACGGTTTTAACAGGATCATTGCCTGGGCGATGGATGGGAGCAAGGAGGACAGGCTGAGCACATCAGCACACACCCAGAGATTTGCAAAGGGAGAGACTGCAATATGTAGCAGGATTTGAGAGGACGGAGCTGTGCTTAACCCTTCATCCTTGTCCTGGGAGATGTTCAGAGCAGCCAGGAGGGCTGGTAGTGTCTGCAGGCTGTGGAGCTGGGAGCAGTTCTACAGGGGAGGAGAAACTTCTGCATGTAGTTTTCAGCAAACTGTGCTAACTTTCAGAGGGGCCTGAGAGTCCTTAGCCCGTAAGTAGCTTTTGCTACTGATCCATAAAGGCTGACCATATTCGAGGAAAAGAACAGTCCAGGATTTTTTTCTGTACATAGGAAGGAGGTTGTCCCTGTGCATTGCTTCAGTCAAGTTGGGCATCTTATAATCCCTATTATCCTATCTAAGTTATTTCTCCTAATAAAAAAAAAACAAGCTCATGAACCGTTCACTGACTGTGGATGCAAGTGTGGAAAAATGCATGTTGTCTGGCTG